GCTTCCCCGGCCAGCCCCTTGGTGTCAGCCAGGACGAAGCGGATGTTGTGAGCATGGCAGATGTCGCTGACGCGCAGCTGCTCCTCCAGGGGCGAGTTGGTCAGAACCACCACCTGAGCCAGGAGCCAGAGTAGCGAGAGCAGGGTCTGGCTGTGCCCCGGCAGCCCTGGCTGAGCCCCCAAGCCCAGGGCGAGCCCCCAAGCCCAGGGCGTGCCCCCAGGCTGCCTTTGGCATTAGCCAGCAGGGCACTTTGCTCCCTGGCACGGCGCAGCTCCCCACACAGCTACAGCCCTCCCCCACCGGACCCACGGGACCAACCCCCGCCCCCATCCTCCTGCCCGGCGCGGTGGGGGCCATGCCCTGGCTCCCTGGCCTCCCTCCCCACCAGGCTCAGTTGGGAGCCCCCCACACTCTCTATGCCTCCAGGAATTGGGCCAGGCCGAGCCATCAGTCTTGGGAGACAGAGCCTCACCTGCCAGCCCTCAGCTCCCAGCTGCCCCATGCCCACGGCCTGGGCCCAGCCAGCTCATGCCTGCGTCAGCCTCTGCCCCCCAGGCGTGGGTGCCTTACCTGGAAGGCTGCCAGGAAGCTCTCGGCCAGCTCCCCGGTGGCAGTGGTCACAGGCACGTAGCTGTTGAGCTCAGCCAGGTGCCGCTGGGAGGCCAGCCTCACCTGCCAGCCCTCAGCTCCCAGCTGCCCCATGCCCACGGCCTGGGCCCAGCCAGCTCATGCCTGCGTCAGCCTCTGCCCCCCAGGCGTGGGTGCCTTACCTGGAAGGCTGCCAGGAAGCTCTCGGCCAGCTCCCCGGTGGCAGTGGTCACAGGCACGTAGCTGTTGAGCTCAGCCAGGTGCCGCTGGGAGGCCAGGGCCCGGTTCCGGCCTATGTCGCTCTCGGAGAGGAAGAACTGCAGGACAGCCCTGGGTCAGGGGGGCTGCTCTGCGGCCACGGGAGGAGCTCTGCCCGCGTGGCACACGGCCTTTGTGTCTCCCGCAGCGCGGGCTTCCTGCCCATCGCTCCGGGGCCTCAGGGCTCCCCACGCACTCGGGACAGGGCAACACAGGGAGCAAGCTCCCCACAGACACGGGCCCCCTTGCACAGCACCGGCCCGCCACAGCCCAGGCTGCAGGAGAGGCCTGGGAGACGCCAGGCAGTAACCGGCCCTGAGCAGGGACTGAAGGGAACCCTGAGCCTGGCAGAGGCGGGGAGCCCAAAAGCAAGCACTTGAACCTGGAGGTTAAATTACCCCAGGCTGGGGCTGAGCAGGCCCTTTAAGGTCGGGCCTGCCCCCGTCAAAGCAGGCTGGCCGCAGGGGCCAGGAGGGGTGGGGCCCAAACTGCAGCCCTGCACTTGGGCAGGGTTGGAGCTTCCCAGAGCTGCACTGCATCTGGGAGAGCCGGGCACTGGACTGCGGGAAGGTTTGGGGGGCCAGCTGCAGACGAGGCTGCCGCCCGGTGCTCCAGATCACTGCGGGCCCTGCAGGGGTGGGGCAGGGCACCTTGGCTAGCTGTGCTGCAATTCTGCATGGGTGCCGAGTCCTCCTCAGACCCTTGCTCCTGCTGGCGCCATTCCTGAGGCAGCTGCTGCAGACAGCGGGCACCATGCAAAGAGCTGGGCGGGCGCCATGTGGGCGTTTGCAGGCCAGTGCAGGCTGGGAGCTCTGTGCCCCAGGAGGAAGGGCCAGTGAGGAGGGAGGCCAAGTCCCGAGCGCCCGAACCCGCGCTGGGTACCTGCGAGGAGAGGTCGCTCCACTGGGCCTTGCCCGGGTCATGCACGGTGACGGATTTCACCCCAGCCAGGATGATGTTCTTGGCAATCTCCACAGCCAGCCCCTTCATCCCCGACACCAGCACCGTGGTGTCTGCCAGCCGCCGCATGGCCGCCGGGCCCAGCACGTAGCTACGGGGCAAGCACAGCGGGCACATGGGGGAGAACGAAACGTGCAGCTGGCACAGCCCCTGCTCAGCCACGGCCCATCCCCCTAGAATCCCTGCCCCGCCCCACTGACCCAGCCCGTGCTGACCAATCCCGCCCCCCCAGGCCCAGCACTCACAGCTGCCAGGAGCAGAGGCCCTCGTCGATCTCGCCCAGGCTCCCGGAGCGCCTCATCCTGCTCCTGCGCAGCGTGGACACGGGCAAGGCAGGTGAGGCTGGTGCAGCCAGGGAGGAGGAGCTCTGCCCAGCCCTGCCTTGGAAAAGTACCAGGCTGGGGCTCGCGGCCCTACGCCAGCCCTGAGCCCCGCT